ATTAGGCCAACATCAAGCTATTGAATTGAAAGGGCAAACTCACTTGTAAAATCTGTGAGAAGTTTACTAGATAAGAAACCACCATAAAAGTTAATGCTTGCATTTTCAATGCTTCTCACAGCTCTAGTTTTCTGTACCATGGGGCAACTTCTGTAGAAATTCAACCAGCTAATGCACTGTGCAGTGCCACCCTGACAGTGACTCCATGACTCTTTTATGCTGCAGCTATAAAATTATTCCCTGACCGCAGATTCCTTCTGCAAGTTACAACTATAATTAAATACATTGTAACAAACCCCCATAAAATTTACAACATGGCTTTAAAATATATGACGATGCTACAAAAAGATGGACTAGAAATTAAAATTGTTAAATCGTTCAGAGAGGCATGTCCAAAAGAGAAAACAGAAAACTTTATCAGGTCTTATTTGTAAATCTTTATAAATAAAGATTATTTCCACTGTCAATTTACTATACTCGTTCTACACTGACCTACCTTATTAGTTTTGTCCCCCCACCTCCTCATATGCCGATTTCCCACTAATGTTTGAGTCTTAGTAATAATTAAATTGAACATGGAAAAACCAAGGGGAATTCAAACGTTGGAAAACAGCCCATGTGCAGGAGTGGTGCTCTCGGGAGGCTTTCTTCAAGGAAGGCTCAAGAGAGATGAAAATATCAGACAACATTTTACGTACATATCTACATACATACATACATACATACATACATAACCATCTCAATCTGTGGATTTCTGTACTCTCTAAATTAAATTTTACTCCACAATGTGTGCTTCACATTTCAACTCCCACTTAACTTCAAGCAGTAAGCTCAAATCAGGAGCATGTACAGCATGCTTCTTGTAGAAGGGAGAACCAGCCCTATGCCTTTTGTATCTGCCCCACAGAATTCAAGTTGCTCTGAGGCTTGCTAGCTCATCTGTGCATGGAAAATGGAAAAGAAACATAAAAACAAAAGGCAATCCCATTCATACCAAAAAGTTTTTTAAAAAGCATGGAGGGCTATCACTTATGACCCAAGCAACAGTCTTGCTGTTCACCAATGTTATAACAAGACCTGACAAAATCCCAGTAAAAATTGTACAAAAATTAAAGCACAAACAACAAAAAAATAAGGGCTGGAAAAACATGTTAAAAACATTACAAGAAATACATCAATGGTCTACTCAGCAGTAAGACATCATTATGCATAGGTCAAAAAAAAGAAAAAGTAAAATAATAGGCACATATGCTATTAAACCAATGAGATTTCAACACCTGGTTTGATCTTAGTAACAAAGAGATAAAAATGAATTCTCCTGACCACATGACAGGAATTTTTGTTAATTTTTCCTTCAGTGAGTCAGAAGACCTCAGCCAAGATTAACTTGCAAAAGTAATACTAAGTAAAGCCTTAGAGAAAGAAAAAACAGCTATAAAGTAGTAAAAATTGTTCTTGTCTTTTGTAACTACTTGAATTGCTTTGAGCAATTCAAGATGGATGCAGAAAAACAGCTATGCCATCTCAATTCAGAATGTAATTCTGAAGACATTCTACCACTACAGAACTCATTCAAATTTGAATTATAAGAAAGGCTAGACAGTCACTTTACAACCGAAAACCATAGAAAAACGTGTTAATTTCTGTGTGCATAGAAAGTTAAAAACATACCCAAAATATTGGCATCTATATTGACAACATCCAAACTTAAAGATAAATATGCTATTATTCCTGTTTTCTATTTGTTGAGAGCAGCTGGCTCCTCACAAGCACTTGCAAAGACTAAACTAGATCTGCTCTGTACAATTCCAGGATGCAAGACATTAGGCCACAAGTAACACAAACAAAATTTTGACAACAAAGAAGACTCTAACTTGATTAAGAGAGAAGACAACATCCATTTTCCAAAAGGGAGCCAACTGAATGAGTGTATTATTCTGAGATGCCAGCTTTTACTGCTATGTAAGTATGCAATTAAAAAAAAAGTGTATCAAGTCATTAACACAGTACTTTTTCCATTACTAAAATTGGAATGCTGTCAAGCCAGCTAATAACAATCAACATATTCTGCATTTCAAGGTTAATGGAACAGTTCTATTATTACAGCAAACATGACCACACCAAATTGCTGCCAAAACATTCCTGGGACTAGTGCTCAGAAGCAGAGGCCAAATCCTTAACACCATCCAGCATGAGATGAAGGACAAAGGACTATCTACTAAAAAACAAATCTAAGTGAACACAAACTTTGCCTATCACAATTAACACTTGCTGTTGCCTGACACCTGTTATTTGCAGTCAATACTGTCCCTACAGAAACCTACTTAGTGCTTATGTTTCTCTCATGTAAGGAAAAAAATTATTTAAAAGCGTATGCCAACACAATCCTAGTAACAAGTGTCATAATCATAAACAAACCTGCAACAGACCTTCAACCATAAATAGTAAGGTATAAGAAAGGAACAGCAAGAAAACAAAGCAAAACCAACACCTCCTCCACAGCTCCTGGACTGTTTGTAATTCGGGGTGGGGTACGGCTTCAGAGGGGAAGCTGGAGAACACCTCTGAGAGAGTGATGAATAGCAAGGGGATCATGAAGCTGGCCACAGTGTTCCCTCATCCTATTTTATCCAGAGTTACACCAGGCCAGGCTCACTTATTCTCCTTGTCAGTCATTTTTATTAGTCCATATTCTCCAAAGAAGCAAAACTACCTGTTAACTACATGTATATATGCTTTATGTGTACATGCACACTGTTGAATACCACAGTTAAGATTTACTTTTTTTCAAGTCCTACATGTTTGGAGTTTGTCTATACCACTCTTAGCACACAATGTAAAAATAGCAAATGCTTAATTGAAGTCTAACTTAATCTGAAACTATGAATGCTACCTACCTTAAAGACCCATATAAAGTTTTATTAATTTCTAATTCTTTTCTGTAAATGCACAATCAAAACATTACTATCTGTATACATTTTTTTTCTTGCAGGTTTTCTGTTTACAGAAGAAATTATGTACACACATAGTGATGTTAAGATCATAGAGGAATCAAGAACTATCATGAATTGTGTATTTGTTGGTTAGAGCATAAAATGTGATAAATGCTCTTGAGGAAAGTGTTCTTAAAGGTTGTAATCAGCTTCTTTTAAAACTGAAGCTTGTTCTCTATAAAGCATACTTAATGGGAATTTGATGGGAACTTGAATAGCATTTAATTGAAATCACTAATGCTTTCAGTTGATGCACGGCTGAGTTCGCCCAAGGAAGTTGTATAAGTTCCTTAATATATACCCCAACCAGGGCTCAGCATTTTAAGTTATAATCCTTTATTTATTAGAATAAACCAGAGTGATCTATATGACTCAGTCACCAGAGTATTGCTATCAATCAAATCAGAAAAAAAGGATGTCTTCTCTTTTGTAGCCATCTCAGTGAAAATGCTATGTTCGTGTCTTCTTGGAAAACAAATCCTGAAAGACAGCACTTCTACTGTACAATACTGGAAGCCCACTTTTAGAGGCAAACCACAATCAGAAAAGTCTCTGATTTTCCAACACTCTTCAAATGACATTTTCAGATACTCAGAAATTTGATAAATTGATACAATTCTAATAGGTGACACTGTCATTACAGAGTTGAAAAAATTCACGTATTGGAAAATATTTTTTTTCAATTTAGCTTCACTGTTAGAAGTGTAATTAAAAAGAAGTCTGCCTATTTTTACTCAGAACTACATCTTTTAAAAGATAACAAGTATCTGAAAACAACCGTAAAAACAACTGCAGCCTTGCAATGTTGCGTGAAGTTATTTATTAGTATACTAAGTATTTGCATCAGACGCACGATCAGTCAACAATAACTGAAGTATAATCAAGATATAGGCACCTATGCAACAGCTGAAGAATGCATTAAAAAAACAAAAACATGAGCATGCCACTACTACACATGGCATTTCTCCACTAGGGTGGTCGACAGAATAAATGACATTTTCTGACCTATATTCTTACTCCAGTTTAACCAGCTGATCAGAACGTAACAATGTGATTAACTAAAGTCGATAAAAGCTAAAATTTCCTTGCCCTCGATACGTAAGCAGGGCAACAACGGAGATGCCGCCGAGCGCTGCCTCCCAGGCGCGGTGACACGGACCCCGGTGACGGCACCCCGGGCCGCTGAAGGTCACACCGGGCACCGCCGGCGGGCACCGCGACCCCCGCAGCCCGGCCGCCCACACCGCCCGGACGGAGCAAACGCAGCATCACCACCGCCAAAAGGCTCCTGTCAGCTGCCAACACAGAAAGGCACCGGAATTCCTTGTCCGCCCGGGACCGCGGGGCCGGCCCCGGACACCGCCTCACGCTCGGGCACCGCGCCCCGACCGCAAGCAGCCGCAGGGAAGCCGCCGCCTGCCCGCCGCACCTCACAGCCCAGGGGTGGCGCGGCTCGGCGGGGAGCGGCCCCGGGGCAGAGGAGGGAGGGTTGACCTGCAGGGGTCACCGCGCGGGGCACAGAGCGCGCCGCTCGCCCTCAGGCGGCACAGCCGCGCCGGGCCGGGCCGAGCGCTCACTCACCGCCCGCGCTGCGCTCCCTCCGGCGCCGCTCCTTCCCGCTGCAGCCCCGCGTGCCACCGAGCGGCGGCTGAGGAAGGGCCCCGATGGCTTCCGCTCGGCTCCCGCCCAGAACTACAGCCCCCGGCAGCCGCCGCCAGTGACGAGCCCACAGTGCGCCGGGCCGCGTGGTGCGGGCAGTCCCCGCCCTGGGCGGGCCGGGGGGCCGGGAGCGGGGCGGGGCTGCGGGCGGGCGGTGCAGCCGTCGCGCCGGCCCCAGGCCCTGACCTCAGGCGGCGGCGGCGGCAGGAGCGGGCGCTGCTGCCCTGCAAATCTCCGGCCGCGCCCTCAGCCGCGCTGCGGGGGGACCCGGGCGGGCCGGGGAGAGGGAGCGGCGCACGCTGGGCTCGGGAGGCGGCTGCGGGGAGCGGCGCGGGGTCGCCGCGCTGGCGGGAGCGCAGCCCCGTCCCGGCCGCCGCGGGAGGCCGGAGGGAGGCGGGGGCCCCACGAGGAAGGCAAGGTACGAGCTTAACGGAGCGAGTGAGGAGCCGCGGGGGAGCCTGCGGGGCGTCCTTCCGCACGTCCCGGTGCTTTGTCACGGACGGATCATTTCACACGACCGGGAGCTGCCTCAGCCGCTCCAAACGCTGCAGTACGAGCTGCAGATCAGCGTCAGCAGAGCCCGGGAACGCGAGTTCGCGGTACCGGGGCTTCGGGCTCCGGAGCCTCCACACTGCCCCGGCTCACGGGCACGGGTTTCTATGTTTCTTCCTGCCCTGCACTGCTGTCTGCCTTTGAAGCTTTGGCCAGGCTGGGATGAATGTGTCATTTTACCTGTGCAACATTGTCCCTCTCTGCAGTACAAAAAAAAAAAAAAGTCTGCGATACAGAAGGAAAAACGTGGAGACAGGGAAAAGGTTCATGTGGGGACAGAATCCAAAACCGTATTGAAAAATGGAAGCAATGTTAAACTACATAAGAAAAACAAAAAATAAAAATCTTGAAATTGTAATGTTATTTGAATAAATGTGCATCATGAACGATTCTGTTGGGTGGCTATATGCCTTTGAACTAAGTCTACAATAATTTGACTTTAGTATGTCGTAGTTATTAAGACTTGATTCTTCAGCTTAGCATCTGTGGTTTCATGTTGCAAGCAGCAGAATAAATTGTCTTGTATAACAGAAAGAGGCATCTTCTTTCCAGGTAGGACAAAGATGCTGTGGCCATTACAGTGCTGGCCAGTATCTTGAAGAACCTGCATTCTTTTTTTTTCACTCTGCTACAGACTTCCTCAGTTAGGCAAGTTAAACCCTGATCATCTGAAGGTACCCAGTACCTACTAAGATCTCCTTTTGTCTCCATTTGGAATATTTAATAAAGAATTTCTTCAAGCAAATTTTTGGGGCAAAAATATTAAGGATTATGAGTGGCTTGGATATTTGCCAGTGAATGGAGTGGTGGGGGCTTGTTAGCTTTTCAAGAGTGTTGCCTTGATTAAGTAGCATGCATAATTTAAGTGCAGGCTATACTCAAGCTTACCTCCTTAATAAACAAAATTATCAGTTTCTGATATAGTACTTCACCTTTTTAAAGTTAACTGTCATGCAAAAATTGCATGTTAACATGGAACTACATCCTATAGCTGACTTTTTATCAGCCACCAAGTAGGATTCCTAATGGGAGCTGGAAAGCTGCCCATCAGAAAAGGACTTGGGTGTTGTTTGACAGCTGGCTGAAGGTGAGCCAGCAGTGTGCCCAGATGGCCAAGGCCAGTGGTACCTGGCTTGTATCAGCAATAGTCTGGGAGCAGGACCAGGGAAATGACTGTCCTTCTGTACTTGGCACTGGTGAGGCGAGGCCACACCTCAAGTACTGTGTTCAGTTTTGAGCCCCTAACAAGGAGAAAGACATTGAGGCACTGGAGGGTGTCCAGAGAAGGGAAACGGAGCTGGTGAAGGGTCTACAGCACAGGTATTATAAAGAGTGGCTGAAGGAGTTGGAGTTGTTTAGCCTGGAGAAGAGGAAGCTGGGGGGGAACTTCTCACTCTCTAAAACTACCTGAACGGAGGTTGTAGCGAGGTGGGAGCTGGCCTCTTCTCCCAGATAACAAGCGATGGGATGACAGGAAATGGCCTCAAGTTGCACCAAAGGAGGTTTAGATTGGATCTTGGGAAAATTTTCTTCACTGAAAGGATTGTCAAGCATTGGAACAAGCTGCCCAGGGAAGTGGTAGAGTCATTGTCCCTAGTAGTGTTCAAAAAACATGTAGATGGGGTACTTGGGGACATGGTTTAGTGGTGGGCCTGGCATTACTGGGTTACTCGTTGGACTCTGTGATCTTTGAGGTCTTTTCCAACTTCAGTGATTTTACAGTTGAAGACTTGCTTATAGCTAAAGTAAATTAGCTTTGATACACTTCTTAGACATCTCTCTCGCTGCCTAAGCTTTCAAAGCATCAGACATAAAATAAGTCAGCTGGAGGACTTTCAGAGTGGCTACTGAAATCTGTGAGGGAGTTTGCCTAAGTAAAGTGAAAATTATTGGAGTTGCTTCCCCTCCTTTTTTTTTTTTAACTGAAATCCCTTACAATAGTATTTCCTCTCCTGCTTGTGAAATGTAAAGTGCAATAGCTTCTGCCTTGCTTTTTTTGTGAGCGAGTTCAGCTGCACACAGCTGAGATCTGACTAGCACAGCTGTGCGCCTTCGAAACAAGATTGATTTCTTTTCCTACAAACTGCCAGGGATTAATGAATCCATTCTTTTTTACTTTCTGCACTTGTGCAGTTAACTTGCAATTCAATTGTTTGTTCAAAAGTGGCAATAAGATTTCTAAACCCATAAATTAAAAGGGAAAGCTTGAGTTGACATGTGTAGTCCTCAGTGTGGAGTTTGAAATTGATATGCTGCTTAAAGGCCTAATAGAAGCAGGCTTTCCAAGAGCTGGAGTTCTGGGGGTTTGTGTGGGTGTTAACTTAGAGGAATGCCTCACAGTTGTGATTAAGGAAATTTATGTTTATCACTGGTTTATGTATTATCTTACATTGCTACCTTATTTTTTCTAGGATAAATGGATGTATATGACTTTTCCCCTGACCTAAAGCGGTTCCATGTCTTGTTTGGTAAGTTTCTCTTTAAAAATTTTGGCTGTTGTACCTTGTTACCCAGTTATAGCTTAATATGAAAAGTTCTGGTGAAATATCTTGGTTGAAGGGATTTCCACAGCGCTGAGATATTTCAACTTTGTTGTATCAATTTTGGTGAAGGAAACTGTTTCGTATCTCCTCTTCTGCCATGTATGTGTTTTATGCTGTTTCATAACCTCTTGCTTGACTGACTTGTAGCAGACTTTCTGAGCTCCTGCTTATAGGGGCTACTTTTTAATGTTTTCCCACTGCCATGTTTAATAAATTGCAGCAACTTCACTTGACAACAAGACATTCACTTGTTTCTGTTCTCAAGGACTGTTCCTGTATTCTACGTACGCCAGTTGAATCAATCAGACCAGAAGAGCTATCTCAGAGCAGCATCCATGAATGCCTGGTAAGAAGAAAACAGAAAATTCAACTGCCAAGGTTAAATACAAAGCTGGTACATATTAAAAATAACCTCATTGGGAAGTATTTCTTTAACTGTTAACAGCAAAAATAATCAAAGTACTTCAGGGCTTCCACTTTGAAAGAAGGCTGTAGGTAACTAAGTGTTAATCTTGTGCCAGTTTAAAAACAAACACAGACACAAAAAACCAGTAACTCACAACTAAGTCTCAGTAATGGTAAAAGCATCGAATTGAATGTTCTGATTTAATACTTAGCATTAATGATATTTCTGCATTAAACATAAACTATTCAAAATTGCTTAGTCATTTTGAGAACTGTTTTTTCGCACTTTTAGGCTGATTCTGATCTAGCCTGGATTCCCCCATCTACAGGAAGGAATGAAATGGTATTTTGCTCTTCTAATGTCTCTCATTATGAACTCCAGCTGGAAATAGGTAACATAAGTGTACCTTAAAATATTTCTTCTTCCTGTTAGCAATAGTTTATTGCTCACTGCAGTAAATATTAGATTTGGAAAATGCAGAACTACTCTTGTGTCTCCTTAGTTGAGAAAAGTGCCCAGAGCATTGCTCACGTTTCAGTAATCACTTATTTCAAGATATAAGACAAATCAACAATTACCTGAAATTTTCTCTTGATGTTTGTGCATGTTCATGTCAGTTTTCTAAATCTGTGGTACGTGACAATAAGTACAGCATTAAGCACATCATGTCTTGTGACTTGGCTACCCAAGGTGATTGTTCTAAGGAAAACTGCCTTGAATCCTACTGCACATGCACGTTTCTGTGAATATGCATGTGTTGGTCATTTAGATGTATAAGTGATACTGACAAATGTTTAAAAACTTTTAGTTGTTCTCAAAATAGCAGAGCTATGCTTCAATTTGCTGCAACTAATTTTGCAACTAGTTCTTGACATTCTTAAAGAAAAGGTCATGTTGCTATCAATTGTATTTTTAGAACTAGAAAATTATCTCTAAACGTGAAGGAAATTATGTGATGGATCATTATATTTTCCAATGTTAAGGTAGCCACTTCTGGTTTCAGGAAGGAGGTTCAACAATTTAACTTCAGTCTACCTTGCACGGCATACACCTACTGACATGCAAGTTGCTGTAAGGATCACAGACCTAGAAAATTGCTCTGAAGAGCATTTGAAAGCCTTACAGGTAAAGCAACAGCATTTCTGCACAAGTCTGATGGAGACAGTGATGAATACATATGAGGTTACTGAACAGAGGTAGCCTTTGTTTGTACTGGGTCATTTCAGTCAGGATTTTCCCCCAAGGGAATAGAATATAATAAACACAAGGCATGTGTAAATTTGAGAGGTGCTTTCTGAAGAAAACACAAGTGTTTTAGAAATACTTCTGTAATCGTACAACTTCTTATTTGAAACACGTTCTGTACTCTGTAGTTAACACTGAAAGTCTAGACTATGAACAAACTAGATTTACTTCAGACAAATGCAATTATGGGCAGGTTTATTCTTATTTCTGCTGCAGGCTATGCACATCACCTGCAATCTTGTATAAACGCACACAGGAAACTGTTCTTTCTACTGATGTAGTTAATGCTCTTCATAAGACTGCTGTCTTGTGATTAACACATCCACTTTCATTTAATTCCATAGAATGAGGTGGTTTTATCCCACTTTTTCCAGCATCCCAACATAATGACGTTTTGGACAGTGTTTACAGCTGGTAGCTGGCTTTGGGTCATCTCCCCATTCATGGCCTATGGTAAGAACTGTTAACTGCAATTTTGGAATAGGAAAAAGGGCTAGTACAAGTTGGACCACATGGTCCAGGAGAGCTTTTTCTTTAAGCATCTGTCTTGTAGAAAAAACAAACCTTCCCAAACCACTTGTTTAGAGAAGACTGCTTTACGTAATCTTCCTCCCCAGTGAAGACTAGTATTGAAACTTCATTAAATTCCACTTAGTCCTAGCACCCACCATATGAGGAATGGTAACTGGGAGATGTATTTGACTTTATACAACTGATTTTTGCCAACAGAAAACCTATCTATATTGAATAGAGGTTGGGCATAGACTTTCAGTTAACAGAAGCATGATTTGAGTGTGATCTTTGCCTGATAGATGCATCAGTTGCATCCATGTAATAACTGTTCTTGATGTACTGTAATCAATATAAAGATGAGAATGCCGCTCTTGATGAATGTATATAATGAAGCAAGCACAGACAAGTAATTTAACAAGACTTCTTAGGCTTAGCTAGATTTTTTTCACTTTCAGGTTCAGCTAGACGCCTGCTGAAGACTTACTTTCCTGAAGGAATGAGTGAAGCTTTGATAGGGAACATTCTGCTTGGTGCAATCAGAGGATTAAATTACATGCACCAGAATGGATATATTCACAGGTAGGAGAATGACAGAAGATAAGAATCAGATTACAGCATCTCAGCTTAAGTATTGTCTCCTTCCTTTTTCTATATATCTTCTTGTGTCAGACAGCACAGAAGTATTTTTTTTTCAGTACAGCAGAACCAAGTTTGTAAAAGCTTAACAGGAGCTGTATTCATACATTATTTCAAGCCAGTTGTTACAGGGATAATACATCTGCCTGGCTTTGTCTCTTTGAAGTGGAAGAGAACCAGGGTTGTAGAACGGGCTTCCTTAGCTTACACCCTTTGCAGGGAAGAAGGGCCCTTCTCCAGTTTCTGGCGCTTCTTTTTCTGATCATCTCTCCTCTCTCTTGAGACTGTATTAAAAAGACAACTCATACTGAGTGAAGGACTTCCATGAAAATAATCTGCTAAATAGAACTGCATGGTAACATCTCACTATAAGTTAATGAAATATGAAAGCCTTTGTACTCTAATAGTGCTTTGAGTAATTCTTATTTATGTTACAGGAATATTAAAGCTAGCCACATTTTGATTTCAGAGGATGGGCTGGTTTCTCTCTCTGGTCTAAACAACCTCTACAGTTTAGTTAACAATGGACAAAAGTCTAAGGTGGTATATGATTTCCCCCAGTTTAGTACATCCGTGCTTCCTTGGCTGAGTCCTGAACTACTGAGACAGGTTGGTATAACACTTAATTTTTCCTCTTCAACGTTAGTGGCAGTACTCAATTTCTAACTTAAGTCTGCTTGTAGAAGTGCAATGGAAGATGTTGAACTGAAATATGTACTGAATTTTTAATTCTCCTAAAGAGAACCAGTTTTCAAGCTGTTAGTAAGGTGATGCTGTGCTAAGTCTCTTTTACTTGACCCTCCTGGAAACTACAACCATCAGACTCCTAACAAAACCTGAGGTTTCCCAATTTGATTGTTTCAATACCGTGTAGATTACAGGGTATTAGAATCTTGTCTTGAAACAGACACTTGTATTTCTGTTGGCACCGCTCAGTGGCATCAGTGATCAGTGGTGTTTTCTTGCTGTCACAGGATTTGTCTGGGTATAACATGAAGTCTGACATTTACAGTGTGGGAATTACAGCGTGTGAATTAGCCAATGGACATGTTCCATTTCAGGATATGCCCCGCACTCAGGTATGATTCTAAACTCTTATTTCTACTTCAAAACATGCTGAGCATTTTTTTTGGTTTTACTCAGAGAAACCAATGCCATTACTGTTGAAGTAATGTGGCTGCTTTTTTTACTTCAAATATGCATGCTTCTTTCTAGAACAAATAATCCTTCCATTCCTGGAGTTTCACACCTTAGCCTGAATAGCCCTTGTTGAACTCTCATACTGTTATTCCTTCCTACTAGATGCTGCTGCAAAAACTGAAAGGTCCCACATACTGTCCTTGGGATATAAATACCTTTCCCCGGGGGGAATCCAGGATGAAGAATTCCCGATCGGGGGTCGATTCTGGAATTGGTGAGAGCATGACACGCACAATGACCAGTGAAAGACTACAGATTCCCTTTTCCAAAACATTTTCACCTGCTTTCCACAACTTAGTAGAACTTTGCTTGCAACAGGACCCTGAGAAAAGGTAACCTTCTGGTGAAAACTAATTTTTTGTCACTTCAATCTAATAGCAAGGATAGCCCACAGTTTAGGATACAGTAATTGCTTGAATGCTGTTAAAGTCAGAATTTCAGACCAGATGTACTATGTAAAACAATTCACTTATGTTTGGTTTTGTAATTTAAGAATTATCTTGTCTGATAAAGGAACCATGCTTTAAAGTCATTTGACCCCTGAATTTCTTGTAATATGAATGTGCTTCGTAAAATGTAAAATTAATTTTCAAACATGCACTTTGTCTAAGAAAAAAGCAGAAATCTGAAATATCCATTTTCAATCCTATGTCTCTTTTGAATGAGGCATTAAATTCCTTGTTAAACAGAAATGTGAAAAAGCCTTTAAAAATAGATTTCTTCAATAGTGCTTTTACTACAAATTGAGGCATAGAATGTAGGATTTGTGTGGTTCTTTTCTCATTCTTCACATTTGTCCCGTGGATGAAAAACCACAGGGCTTAAATTGACTTGTCAGTCTGGCCCATTTCCCAAAAGCAGTATTTTACTTTCCAAAACATAATTATATTGTTCATTTTATGATTCAGGCCTTCAGCAAGCAGTTTGCTTTCGCATACGTTCTTCAAACAGGTGAGTTTACTACATTTTGTAAAATGACACAGCTATAACCTAAATAAGCCACAGAAAGAGTTGGATTTCAAAAATAGTTAAGTTACCTGGAGCCAAAAAGCATCCTGTAACAGCATACCTGTTTCAAACTTCTTCTTTTTAACAAAATGGTATTGATAGAGTATAGGAGGCATAAGAATAATCCATTTCCCCTTTGATAAAGTTGGTTTAACTAAAGTCAGCCTAACTAATAAGAATAATGGTTAATATTCTTAATTTAAATCAGAACTGCAAAGCTAATTTAATTAGTCTTGAAAGACTAATTCAACTTACTCTAGAGTGAGGAAAGTGAAATCTCTCATCCTGTTTTGTTCAGTATTCTAACATGCAAAAACATGGCTCTGATTTCACATGCTTCTAATGAAGTCAGTTGCAAGGTTATGGAGACTTTTATATGCAGCCCTGTTTTAACTTTTTTTCTTTCTAGATAAAAGAACAAACACAGAATTCACTACTATCTCTATTGCCACCTCCTATTCAAAATAACAGATCAGAGTTCTTGGCACTGCCCTCAACAACAGTTGGGACTGGACTTGGACATATTACTGCAAATCAAGATGATACAGACTGGGAATTCTAAATAAATACCAAACAATCATACCTCTCCTGTGCTTCAGAGAAGGAAAATGTGATTTGTATTTGCTGCTTTAGTTTGTATGGTTAAAATAGACAAGGTATACTTGAACATGCCCTGAAGTGGCCATATTTCATTAACTTCCTCTGTTGGCATCACGAAGTGCAGTGTGCCTCACTCTCTGACCGAAAGGAAAACTGTATATAGAGAATGGCTGAATGCTTACCTCTCTCTTTCAAAGTACTTCTTAACAAGAGAGTTCCTGCTGTAATCTTACTCTGTACTGTATTTTCAGCTCATATTGCTGCGGTGCACTTGCCTTTCTGAATCCAGACTTGGGTATTGTCTGTGATCTTACTTAAACAATCTGTTTGTCTTTTCATTATGACTCAAATAATTTTAGTGAGGAGAAATCCTCCACTTCCAAGTTGAAATCTGAGACTGCACAAATTAATTGATTATGTGAATAAATGTTTGTCTCCTGAAAGACATTTTTTCTCACTTGACGTGCTGTCATATTTGCCAAAAGTTAGCTATGCATTCATTTTTCATGCAGTTTTAATACTGCATTTTTCCCAAAGAAGTTAAGCTGCTTAAAAGTGTGACTCATGTTCTTGCATTTGTCTATATTCATACTACAAATTTGTGCTTTTGCATCTCCATTTATTGTTGTGTCATTCTAGCAGTTAATCTGAGGACTTCTTACTATGCAAAGTAAGTCTCAAGTTTAGCAGGTACGGGTTAATTTTGAAGAATCAAATAATCTAAAGTTACTGTACATATTTTTATTTATACTGTATTCCTGTTCACCACCAGAATTTACCAGAACTTAATACTGTTGTTTTAAAAGAACAGGCAATATGCATTAAGCTTCACTGGCACTGCTGCTGGCAAACAAGCCTCTTCTGCAAGGCACAGTTAAATTCCCTTGGATAGATTCAGCCATAGTAAGCACCTAATACCCCCAAGGATCCTAGTGAATTTATCTGTTCTAAGTCAGATGAAAAGCTGTCTTTTTTCTCCCTACAACTCAGTAAGTTCTCATCTCTCACACTGTACCAGGCAACTCAGACTGAACAAAAGCACCTTTCTTTTTTTTAAAAAAGCTGCATATTCTCATCATGTTGTAGCAAAAGTCGTGTCCCAAAGCCACTAGTATTCTATTGATGGAAGTTATGACTGTATTAAGAAAAGCATAAATAGATATCGAATGGATATGTTTTAAATTTTCAACATAAACAACATTCCACGTTAAGTCTCCAAGTCTTCCATAGCTGAGCTGGTCTATACCACTGTTTGCCAGCAGCTTTGCCTCAAGGCCTTGAAGGTGAAATGACCAATATGCAAAACTGAGAGAGACATAACATTCTAATTGACTACATAAAAGTATTAACAAAGAACTTGAGTCTATTCATTATGCTGTGAAGAGAGCTCTATATTTCTAAAACTAACATGTGAAACTTAAGATTAAAAACCTGTCAATAAACTTACCTTATCTGCCTCCATTTATTTCTGTAATTATTGTACTTCCATTTTCACCACAGTCCAGTCATACAAACAGCCTCTCGTTACTGCAGGAAAGAAATTTCACATTTATTTCAATCATTAGGTAAAATAATGGTTGTCTAAACTAGAAAATTACTCTTATCATAAAAATATGAATAACTAAATTGTGTACTCTTGGAGAAGATATTATTTTCATATAAACACTATGTTCTTAATTCTTAACCATGACAAATTTGGACTGTTTGCAAGTCAAATACATTAGATAGCATCTACAAGTAACTTTTGACTAACAGTACATGTAAAAACCAAGTCAAATAATTGAGAACACACATAAAGTTGTACATATTTTAATTACAGACCTCTGAATAAATATTAATACTCTTAAAAAAACCCCAAACCTTCAAAAGACTTCAGGCAGCTTAACTGGCTAGTATTTGTAAGCTTCTCTGAAACAACAGTGCTCCCAACTCTATAAAAATGAACTTGGGTACTAATAACAATGTCAGCACAAAGTGATTTAAACAACCATGTGTTCCAGTGGAGTTACTTTACTGCTGTCTCTTTCTATGAAAAAAAATGAAAAACTTATTTCTGAATGCTGTTCCAGTTCTGTACTGACATAACTTTTAAAGAAAAAAATGAAGTACAATTTTTTTTAAGTTAAAAAGCTCACAAGGCTTTACTCTTGGAACTATAGCTTGTCAACAACTACAGTATTTTCAAACAAAGGCAATTAAGAGGCACTGTGACTTCTAATAGCTCTTAAAATAACCAGAAACAGTAGAAATTAGTCCGTGGGTTGTGTTTGCTGAAAGGTTTGATATGATTTTTCTTGTTAACTGTGATACTTTCTGTTAAGGAAGGTAAGGAATAATGCAAAATAAATACTAGCATTAAAAAAAATGTGTAATCATATTGAAAAGAAGGTTTCAACTACCTGCCACTGAAAAGATTATCTTGGAAACAGTTTTACTGAAAAATCTGAAGGTTTTGCATACAGTTGGTGTTTTCAAAATCTGAGATTCATGATCTGTATTGCTAAGAGCCAAGCTGCAGAGACTTTCCACTCCAAGCTCACACACTTTTAAGCACAATTATTTATTTATTTATTTATTAGAGCACTTGTTTACTCTCACACCAATGATGTGTTATGAGAGTATGAACTAGAACTATACTTGGACTTGAAATTTTCAAGTATCTCACATTTAGGCTCAATGTAACATATTTTCAAAGGGGCTTATAAAACTAACACATTTGCAAAATCTCATGGGCAATGAAACACAAGTATTTTGAAATACTTGTGAAAACAACACAAGTGGGTTTTTTCGCTGCCACCTTTCTTTATGCTAGCATTTAACACTATGTAAAACATTGAAATACCTGTAATAATAGAAAACTTAATTAACATTGTCATGAATATATGCGCAGTGGTGTTGAGCATATATTCTCACTGTCTTAGTCTGATACCACAGCAGTTTGTGAATTTCTGACTGAATGGATTAACACTGAAAAAAAATGTGACTTACTCCAAATCAACCTGATCTGCTACACAACCTACTCACTTTAAAAAGTCTCAATGCAATAAATACCCACTGCAGAGAGAGCAATTTCTTCCACTTGATGAACAGAAATAAATATTTTTTTTTTAAGTTACCAAGTTTTACCTTATCTCTCTCTCTTTTCCCTTCCCCCCTCTTTTCTTCAAGTGCTATCAAAGCTGTTTTTAACCTAGAGGATGGGTAAAATCATGGGAAAGCATTTTCAAACCATTGTTCTGAATATCTCTGACAAGAGGTAGATACCTAAACACACCCTGCCTTTAATGCTAGTAAGTAGCTTTCCTAAAGTATATTAGGCTGTCTAATAAACCTCTAAAGCAATTAAACTAGCTGTAATGACCTGTCCTGACGATGGCCATCCCTATTCTGTATGAATGAGGAAAAACTTCTAAAATGCAGAAATAGTACATATCAAGCAAGAAAGACCTCAAAGGACTATGAGTAAGAACCCCATTTGATGTTACAGACAAGAAAAGACTTAAAAGATTTAAAAAGAAAGCACTGAAAAATTGAGGTGGTCTACTAAAAACCTGCCAGTCGGATAACATTTGGTATTTAACACAATTAAACCTATCCAGAAACTTGAGACAAGATGAAGGAAAGAATATTAGGTTTAAACAGGTTCCTGTAAAAACCTCCATCATTCCCAAATGGAAACAACTAATTCTACTCTATAAATCATATATTTCTTATCCAAAAGTCCCATGAAGTTCCTGAAAAATGGAGTAGTGGTTTTATTTTTACATATGATTACAGAACACACCATTACTACTGGATTTACCCACAAATCCAGATTCACGGAATTCATTTGCCCCTTCATGAAATCCATCTGCAATAGAGGAGAATGGATTGCTGGCAGGATGTATGTGCTTTTCTCTGTTTTGTCAAAATTTATATGACATATGGGTCAAGAGTGTCAATGCTGAGTTTATCTACTACAGTTTATTTTTTTTTTTTAATTCTACGTTCTGATATCAATTATCTTTCTAGTTCTCACGTTTCATGCAGTCAAAAATATCCTTACAGGCAGATTCCATTAGCCCATGTAAAATCTAGGAAGTCAGCTACAGATGAGTTTTCTTTAAATGCTTTAACAGTTTGAGGTAGCTGTTGGTCTGCAGTAGCTGATGGAGCCATCACAGACTGCACCACTGTTTGAGAGCTGCCTGTATCCATCTGAAAAGCCGTGCTCTCTTCCACTTTACTGTACACAGCACAGGAAAGCTACAGGGAATTGTCTGAGGGAGGGAGGACCCTGCAACTTCCCAAGTTTGAAGAAAAGGTTACAAAAAGTACGGAATTATTAAAGCAAGCAGTTTTGCTCGAGCGTGGGAACGCAGAGGAGCTCGTTCTCTGTGCCCGAGTTTCCCGCCCGGATCGCAGTCCCTGGAAGGGGCCGCTTCCCTCAGGCCGAGTCCGACCCGGCGGCGCGCGGGGAGGGCGGGAGCGCTGCTGAGGGCTGAGACGGAGCGGGGGCACCGGGGGCACAGAACATTGACAGCACCCAGGGAAATACAGACTTTCTGCAAGTGTCTGTGCACTTACGGGCCGATTTCATGCACTGCCGCACGGAGGAATGCAAGAGCACCTTTCACACTGCTATGAGGAAGAAGTAAGAGGCAAGGACGGCTTAGGCTTAGCTACAGTAATGTACCTGATGGTTTTCTCTCTCTCCCAAAGCCTTCAGTCATTTCAATTCTGCTGCAAATAAGCAAGTGAATAATTCTGACCTAACCATAAACCTGCTAAGGTTTACCTCAGCAATACCAAAATTACCTTAAAAAGACACTTTGTAAATTAACGACACCTGGCTGTATATCGAGAAAGCTGCGTTGAGAGAGTAAACATTTAAACCACGTTGAAACGAACCAAATTTTAGGTAACTGTCTTTTAAGAAGCAAAATTAGAACACTTTGGCTTTGGAGGGCCCCTGGAGGCCCGCTGGGTCCAGCCTCTGGTGAGGCTGCACAGGGCTTTGTCCACCCAAGTCCGGGGCACCCCAGGGATGGAGCTCCCACAGCCCCTCCGTCCCCATCCCAAGCCCTCAGTCAAAACTCCCATGGCAGCTCGTGGTACATTTCCCTCATGCTGCCTGTGACCGCTTCCACTCATCTTTTCACTGTGCAGCTTTAAGAAGTGTCTGTCTGTCTTATTTGTAATCATCCATTAGGTGGTTAAAGACAGCAACCAAGATTCCCCACTTAATATTCTTCTTTTTAGGCTAAACATACACTAGTAGCCGATTAAATACACTTTACCTGCTACTTTTCAGGAGTTTACAGAACCATTTCTGATTGTGCAAGACCGTCACAGCAGCAGGAATCTGATGGGAGGGAAAGCAAAGCTGTTTTTACAACACTGCCATAAATAAGGGGAAAAAAGTTTTCCCATAAACACCTGTTCAGACCTTGCATTTATACAAAATATTAGCACTGGGGAAAAATTAGACTGATTTATTTTAAACAGATTAAACAACTTGAAACAAGACAAAGTACAGTAATTTCTAACTAGTTTAGAGCAATTGTTTAATTGTTTCATATATGTAAAAACAAGAAATTGGCACCAACATATCTGTAATTTTTCATTAACACAAATGCATTAAAAACAATGGTATGGAAATGCACAAAGGCATTTCAGTTAAGGCTTCTACAGATATTGCATGTTCTATAATTAAACATCTATTTCGTAAACTCATTCTAAAACTTTCCAAGAAACTAAACAAAAAAGCTCAGTTAGACTCATATTCCACTGTGAGGCTTAATGGAATGAAGAATGTCTTGTACTATAGATAATTAGTCATCAAACTGTTTATTGTGCTTTTTATATGGCAACCTCAAACCTCATTAATTTAAATATGGATATATTCAGATCCTCCTCAAAAGATACACTGGAAAGGCAAGACTGGATTGATCACATTAAGTTCATTAATTCAATCCATGCTCAACCATCTAAACAAACTACTGTATTTCACAATGACAATGAATCTGGCTCTTGGCTAGCATCGCTCTGTCCAAGGGATACTTGGAAGGCCAATTCCTAATATTAATGTCAGAAATCAAGCAATGATGTTATCCAAGTTTTTCCTGTACTGACGTGATGCCTTAGCACCCTTTTGCCTGATTTTGCCCATATTTTATAGGCAAAATTACATTTCTTACCATACCGAGATGACAGAAGTGTCATGCAGCAAAGAGAAGCCATTATTAATCCCATCTTCAGGAGGTCAGTGATTCTGTAACTCAAACACACCACATCAGGAGGAAGTGTGGTGGCAACCTACATGAGAACACTTTGTGCCTCATCCTCCATCTCCTACAGCCAAATCATGACAAGAACATCCAGTGCACGACTGAAGGAGAGCACACCCTGAATCTCTCCATCTTAATGTACAATGCAGGGCCAGCCATAATTTCGCTCTACAGTTTTGCAAAAATACATACACAAGAGCCACAACAATTTACAAAAGCGTTAAGGGCTCCTTCCCATAACAAACTGAGTGCCCCAGAACACAGCCAACAGCTGTGGAACATCTTTTAAATTCTTGCAGAACTCTTTTCCCTCACTGCCAGGATTACCACAGCATTTAAATGATGTCATGAACACTGAACTCTTAACTTAAATTTGCTGGATGGACATAAAAGAACTCAAGCCCTCAACAGGGCAGCAACAGCCCTAGTTATTCATGTTCCCATGTTTGTTTTGAAGCAACTCAGGTAACAGTAAAGAGAGTTAGCACTGAAAGCACAGAAAGCTCTTTGACATTTCCTTTCAAGTCTTTCATCTGGCTACTCTTAACTTCACTACTATAAAAAGTTCAGTAATTCTCCAGAGAACTTTGACAACTGCACCCCCTTTATAACCACCCATAGACATATATTAAATCAAATAATGCAGAATCAGTATGCATTAAACAACATATACAAATAGGTTTTGGGCTTTAGGTGATACTTTCTTGATAAATGGTTTTCAAACTAGCTGTTGTCTGTGTCTACTAAGGAGACTGTTTCATCCTTCAATATGTATTTATTCCTATCTGAAAGGCTTTCATTTTGCCGTTTTAATATAAAAGAAAAAGAATGTTGGCTATAATCATCAAAACTCACCAACTGCCACTATTGCTACTACATCACTGCACAGAAGGTGGGTTGCTGAAGAGTTTTTAGTTTGCTTTAATAATCATTTTCTTGTAATTTTAAGAAGTTTTCCATTCCATCCTAACACAAAACGACAAATTGGTGGGTAATCAGTCTCCATCAAAATTTTCAACATCTGTGAAATTCAAGTTTCTTTAGCAAGAGCAGTGAATAAACTATTGTTCTTGCCATACAAGATAAGGAAAAATCAGAACACTCTTCTTGTGAATGGCTTTGTAATAGTTATGCATCCTGACTGCTCAGAAATTAGAGGCCATGGATGTATCCTGTTGGCAACACAAAACAACCGTTTGATTACAAGATGTATTTAGGTGTTTTCATTAACTGACCAAACTGTTGCGACATTAAAGCTTCTTTTTCTTGTCTCTAATCAACCTGAAAGAACTTGTTATCATCAAGATCTTTGTCAAGAGAACTAAACGAAGATAAAAAAAAGTGTCCTCTTTTATGGATTATTAAACAAAATCCCTGTCAATTCAATCCTTTATTCTAGCAAATACTTTTCATGACACCCAAATGCAGATTATTTTATGCTTACCAACTTGGTGGATTTTATGTTTCCTAACTCTGTTTTGTTATCATCGTCTCTTCCTTAGACTACTTTTGTCATAAGATTTGTTTTAATCTCTAGAGGATATTTAACCAAGTCAGATAAGCTAACTGCTGTCAGCATTAGTAATAAAAGCAGGTTGTTGAAGAGTGTTACAACCGTCAAAAAAGCACTGAACACCTGATCTTCTGCAACCCTCTAGTGTCTTTGGCTATGCAGGCAGCAATATTTACAAAATAAACCTTGACTTTTTGCACTAGGAATAATCTGCTTTGCAAAATAAAAAGCAAAAGTATAAAAGATTTCCATCACATTTGGAAACTGTAACATGCATAAAAAGATCAACATTAAATATATACAATACAAAAATACATTTTTTTCTTTAAGAAAATTATAATACATAGCTATAATACACAACATGTTGTGCCATCAGTCACAGCTACAAGAGTTGCAGGTTCTTGTTCCACACTTATGGCTGGACTCTGGGTATGACATCTCCCTGGGGAAATTCCTCAATTTCAGCATGAAACATCAGTTCTAAATGAGAAAAAAAAAAATTCGTTTGCTTTGGAAACTTTCACCTGAATACAATTCCATTACTCTTGAAAAGCACCCTGGCATTCCCCCAAGCCTCCTGGTTTTTGTCTCAATCATATCATTAACGACTCAGCAATGGCAAGGGCCACCACTGTCCTTAGAAAACTACTGTTGCCCCCCAAAATTAACAGAACTGGTGACAATGTTAGCAGGTGATCATATGTAGTATCACCCTGCATTCAACCTGGACACTGAAACAGAACTCTGAAGTACACTGAGGGATTGTTCTGAGAGTGTCAGACTTAGGAAGGAAGATTTCTGTTTAGAGACTCGTTCACTTATAGATGGATCTGCTCTGTGTTTCAGTGTTAAGTCAGCACCAGCAGAACCTGGCTTAGAAAGCATCATGCACGAATGATACTGCTCACAGCTGTCACCACGGCAGCTCAGCCATGGCAAACAGCCCAAGGCAGCAGTGAAGAGCTCCTGGTGCAGAAACTGGCTGGGCACACTAAGCAGCTGATGAAGCAGCCCCTGTGGAGCTCTGTGCTGCTGAGGGTTCTCTTATGTCTCTGTACTCCACACGTGTGCTTTGCCTTGCTACCTGCACATTCTTTGTATAGACCAGGCTGTGTCTGCCAACATCTGTCAACATGGTAAAGTTACACGGCCTGTACGTGCAACAGTGTGGTTTATCCCCTCAAGTTTGAGATTCACATATGTTTGCTACCCCATCCTTAGCAAACTAAACTTTCTCTACTGTTTGGGGTAAGTCCTAATGAATTTCTCTCTAGAAATTTCTGAAGCACTTTTCCAATCTTACTAGGCACATGTAAACATCAGAAAAGTTCATCAAAACTTGAGTAAAATTCTGCCACTCGACTGTTTGAATAAGTATTATTTTAAAAATGGGTTTACAATACAATTTAAACATCTATTATAAATTTTACCATCAAGGACTGTAAAGGCTGCCACTCAGTTATTCATGTTTTTTTAACTCATTGAGTTATTAGAAATAAGCACAGTAACTGGGGACAGGTGAAATACAGACACCTGTACATTAAAATTCTAAAGCAATTTCAGGAAGCATGTTCAGTCTTCAGTTTCCCAAAAACAAATCTGTGTTTTAATTCATGGTTCTTGGGATACCTTATCACTTTTAAGTCAAAACTTGGGATTTTTATGAACAGCATACCTTCAAGTCACAGGCTGCATGCACTTGACAGGAAAGCTAAGTTATGATACACCTTTTGGATCCCAGTAGGAATACAAAAGGAAGAAGGCCTAGTCTCTAGCAAAGCTTCTTCTGTGAAAAGAACTTGCTTGCCCCTTCCTGCACAAGTAGTCCTCTTTTGAAGTCCTGTTCTGCAAGCACGAATCTGACTTTTCAAAGCTTGGGAGTTCCCAAAACTACTGCAGTGTTCTACTGGAAATAATACTGAGCTTGAAATGCATTAAGCATTTGCAAAGGGAACATTAATAACATTAGGGAATTTTCTAAAACACAAGTAGAATAAATACATTTCAAATATTTAAAATACTGTTAAACTTATTTTTCCCTTCAATGAAAAAGAGATGTGCTCTCATGTTTCAAAATTCATGTTGCTTCAGACATGACAAATAAGGCTTTTCTTTCCTTTTTAAATGAATGCTTATCCTTTATAAAACCAAACACAGACACCAGCATCCTAAGAAGCATTTGCTGTGGAAGGTTGCTAGGGGGTACTTGTTTTCATTCAGTCACAAAATTTGTCAGGACTAGTCTTGAACACCAAATGCAGAGCACTTGGTTCAGCAGATAAAAGCTTGAATAAACAAGCTTTATTATAAAACAAGCTTTATTATAAACAATTTCATCTATTAATGTTTCCTACCTTCACTGTGGTCAAGCTCTGGTCGGTAAGACAAGAAGATCCAACTTGTCCCAACTAGAACAGACACTACTAGATTCACCACAACCCATGAATGAACAATTTCTTCCTCTGTACCTGCAGTCCTGGGAAAAACACATCAACCCATTAGTCAGTTCACTGGTACACAGAGGTTACAGTAATAATTTCAACAGAGTATCATCAAAACAAGCTTGCTAAGCCAGATGTGAAAACAGAACTACTTGCACCGTCATGATGGTCCTGCATTGCCAAGGCCTGGCAAAGAGAATGATTACCAAAGACAGTGACTCAGCTAAGAAGCCCCAATATCTCACAGAGAATGTCCACTTGTAGAGTTCAACAGCAAATTCCTTTTCTTGGCCAAGAGACAAAAAATAAAAATCAAAATGCACGGTCAAATTTTACTGTGGTGAAAGGCACCAAAAATATCATCAGTCCATCTTACTTTTAAGCACTTCCTCATGAGTCAGCAAGGTAAGTGAGCAGCAAGTTACTAAAGTCTGTTGGGAAGCCAGTCAAGGACCTGTATAGAGATGCTGTGGGGTGGATGAGATGGGGCTTTAAGACTGTATGATTCAGCTTAGAGGGTTAACTGACACTTTTCTTACTGGCATAACAGTAGCAGGTTGTGGTTTTGTTACTAGAATCTAGGCTGTTTAATAAACAACTCAATAAACATTTATAGAAGCCCTAAAAGAAAAGCCCAAAACTAACTGCCAAAACCAGCAAATTTTCACATAAATGCTTCTGTTCTACTTCTCTGTTCTGCTTCTGGTCTAGTTTAAAAACTTGTGCTACTAGAATTCAAGTCCATTAGTATCTACTTCAGAAAGTAACAGCTTTGGATGGGATTGCCCAACAGGAAACAATGCTTTAGGTTTAAATGTCACCTGTGTCTGCTAAGCTGATGCATCCTGTGACAGACCATCTCCTTCGAAACCGGTGTTGACTCTCTACAGAATGTCAAGCCCTTGAACCCAAAAGGGTTACCTCAGTAGAGTCCCATTTTCAAGCTAGAGATTCTTAGGGTTCCTGCCAGATGACATTTCCAGCATCATTCCAACAGGCTCTTGTTTGAGGTATAATGGATTTGCAACCAAAATGACCAAACCCATCCTTGAGTTTTTATTTTTCAGTGAAATTATCAAAGGTTCAGGACAAGCTCAAACAAAGGCAGGTTTAGTAATGAAATAGTTCATCAGTACTTTCTTATACATATTGTATGACCTCTTCCATCCACTAGTTTGACTAAGGTTCTTAAGGGAGCTACGTCATAATTTGCAGGAGTGGTTTCTTAAGTTTCCTACCAGATACTGCCATTTTCCGAAGGTGGTGTGTAGAGGTTGATTCTGTCACATGTCATCTGCTGGCTTAAGGATAAGATAAGAGCAGCAAAGTACACTGGAAGAAATGGAATTAGTAGCGTCAGATATAAACTCCCAAAATGCTCTCTCATCACGACATAGTACTAATCACTACATTTTCTTTCCTTTCACTCCACTGTCTCCCTAAATTCATTCTCTCTTCTTCAACATTTCTGACCCATCAAAGTCTGGTTTCTGCACTTTTGCAATTCATCAGCTACATCAAACGCGGCATCTTGCTATTCCATTTTTTTGTTAGATTTGTGTTCTGTATTCAGAAGTGGGAAAGAACTATTTCACTTAACAGCCCCACTAATGCTACTACTGCAAATGCTTAAAAAAAATATGTAACAAAGTGTTCACGGCCTTTGCTATTTTCAACTACTAAGCCACTTCTTCTAAAGTAGAAAATAACCAGGAAGGGCGATTTCACTAAAAACAGTACATAGGAGTTTTCCATTTACCATATTTTCTGGACAACTTCCTATCCACTTCAAAATACTTACAGAAAGAGGCTACTGCTGCTGGGTCTAGGGTAAGAAAGCCCCTCACTGCAACTGAGGCTTTTGCCAAATCAGTCCTGATAACAAAACCAAGAGTCATTAACACAGCCCAGTAAGACAATGATATTGTTCTTCTAGCAGTATTCTTTTACCTTATGCAAGGTCTTTTTTCTGCCTCTGTTACAGTGCCTTAATACACAACTATATCCCACACACATGGCAATGGCCCTCATTATGCCAAATCCAAGAAAGACTGAAACAAACAGTACCAGTTTGTTGAAGCAGGGTCCAAGCAGTGGACAGAAATGAGTAAGAAAGGTCTGGATGCACAAGTACACCCTTTCTCTGTATAGCCAGCCATGTGTAAAATCACTCTTTAAGTATGTCACATTAAATCATCAACAGCAGATCAGAATATGCTACAGAAAGGAACATAGTGTACCCAAATTACACACACACCTTTCAAATACAAATATATTTTACCTGTCAAAGGCTGAGACTGTACTGATAGACAGCAACAAATAGAACAAACTTTGAGCTGGGTATGCTATTGGCTTATACTGTTCAAGCAGGTTAGAAACTGTGGAAAGCTCATGTCCTGCCAAAATGTAGATAACAACGATGTTCCATACAGCATACCCAGCAAGGAAGCCATGGGTAAAGAGTCCCATCACCCTGAAAGGAGGAAAGAACATTAGATCACTTTAAATATCTTGAATTAGCAAAGACCTTTAGATCAATAGAAAAGGCCTATGAATCCATCTGTTCGACCCTGCTTTTCAGAGCCTTTCAGAAATTGTTTCTAAATGCTTTTCCTGATCTAGTTTTAAAAATTCTAGGCAACAAGACTTCTGCATCCTCCCTTAACAGACTGCACCAGAACCTGAGCACTTAAAGAAAACAAAGATGTTTTGCCTTTGCTTCATTATTGCTTCAGGAATCAAATACTTTCACTCGCTGCCTGTAGCTTTCCAAAAGCACTGCCCTTTACACTTACACAATGGTCTTAAACTTGTCCCCAAGGCAGTCTTTTCTTTATCTTCCTTGCTAAGGAAAACCTTGAAAAGGAAGCACAGGCTCACAGATAATATACACAAGAGAATAAAATGGTTGTCATCTTCCCATCCTGTATCTCAACATGACCACATATTAAAAAAAATACATTACTTTTTTGCTATTGTGTGCAAACTTATTCCCCTAGTCCAATTTCACTCCTCCCTCTTTTTCACCAACCAGGATTTTTCTTTGAGAACTATCTGAATTCAAGTATTTTTATCCTGGTGATACACCTGATGGGTCAGTCTTATTTTCTAATTTTTTTTGGTAGGTCTCTAATATTTTGGTTATCAGATCAGTCTCTTTCTATTCAGATTTTGTCTGAATCTTTGCAATATGACTTTCTTAGTTATTCTTTTTATAACCATATTTTGCATGTGGTGTCTAAACTACAAATACATATTCTTGACAATAAATACCAAAACCTAGAAGAGTGATAAACTTTCTATCTTTTGCATCCTGAACAACCATTTATTAGGAATATCCAAAAGAAATAAAGCGACATCTGAATGGTAGAGAAAAGGCACTAATTTTCAAGGGAAAAAAAAAAACATCACAAAACTCCAACACTGATTTCTTCTTATTTACATGAGAACATTTATCTTTCACCTGAAACTTCGGTGCACTGAGAGGGCAACGTCTCTGGTAGTCCATGAAGCCTTGACATCCAGAAGTACATTAATATTTTCAGTGGTTTTAATCAATTCTGCACGGTCAGCAGCCTGAAACCGCCCTGAAAGGATGAGAAAATTAGTTTCAGAGAGTACTGTTACCTTTCATCATCATCTCTGCATTAAAAAGCTGTAAGCCTCAGAAGTTCCATCAGAAAATCTCTCCTGCCCTGGAGTGATGCATCCTGGTGGTCAGGCTAAGACCTAAATGTGCAAAGAATGTGCAAAGCACTTTGGGAAACTACTCAGTGTACAAGAAAAACCCCTGGTACAAAAAAACCCCAAAACCCAAAACCAACAGAAAAACCCAAACAACCACCATAAAACTCCCACTGGAAAGACTTTTTATAAATAATAATTTCTTCTCAAGGTACTGTGACAGTATTAAGTCAAATAAGCTCAGCTGAGTACTTTGAAACAGTCTTTTTCACACAGACCATGGAATTCAAACATTCAACCAAATATGCCAGCACAGCAACACTAGCATTCAATGTTGAAAAATTATCATGTATATTTATTTCCATATAATTTTTGTTTGGGACAGCCTTTTTAAAAAAATTCTTCCCAATACTACAGTATTTGGATTTTAAATACAACAGTGCTTCCCCTAATTGCAAGAATGTCCTGAAGTTACTGAAATCACAAGCTGAACTTACGATTTTTCTCAACAAACACTTTGCTAACAGGCTGGCTAATTCCAGTGGGAGCAGCAAACACAGGCTGCTGATCTGGGCTCTTTCTGTGCTCATCTTCAATGATGTCTTCCTCCTCCACTTCCAGCTCATTGGGACTCTGCATTTCGGCCGGCCGAGGTTTCCTGTCAGCACAGAACATATAGCGGGTCAAAGAAAGAACAGGAAATAACATGGAAAACCTAAAGGCTCCTATGAACATTTAACCTGTCTAACTTGACTGATAATAACTGACCAGGCTACTGACCTGTATAATATTATCCCATTTACAATTTTAAGGACTAAAGTTCTCATGGAGTTAATTAACTAAAAACATAAAGCTAATTCCATGTGAAAAGATTAACAATTAGAACATATGGGAACAGTTGGGGAAAAAACATGCTAACTCTCATAACATTAAGAAAAAGATAGTAAGAATGAAAGAAAGTGGTTACACATTCTAATTTTTTCACATATGTGACTGAACTATTAGGCTCATGAAAATGTATTCAGAACTGTAATGCATCCAGGTATGCACAGAACAAACAGGTGAAGAAAGTTAGATCTTAACCCTGGAAAGAACTGCACACAGGCTGAATGGTATCAGGCTTGATGAGCTTCAAGATCTTATGTTTTTCTAATGTGACAACATAAAATGCTACTCAGCCACAGTCACTGGCACAGGTGTTCCAAATGATGAGCTATACGAGTATTGTCTCACTTTGTTCTTTTTCTCTGTTTGCGGACCACTGGTTCTTCAGCTTCAGGGACATCCATGCCATTTCCATTCTGAAACAGGGACGCAACATTTTGCTGGGTAAAAGAGGTCTCGGAATCTGAAGATTTAAAAAAAAACAACATCACGACATGAAAGCTTTAGAACTTTCATAAAAATGGAAATACATTCACTCAAATACATAAATAGTTGTTATTATATAAACAGAGTCGCAAAAAAGTTATGATCCTCTGAGCTTTGAATGATGTAAAGTATCTATTTTATCACTTCCAAAACTGTACTACAGTTGTTTTCATGGAGGTTTGAACCCTATGGAATCTGACATCAGAAACTGAAACCCTAAGCTGCCATTCACTCAGAGATTACTTTCAGGTGTTTCAAGTACAAAAGCACGTGAAATGTTTTAAGCCAAAATACACGTTGGCCAATCCCATTTCTGCGTTACCACGTTTTATTCGGTGCCCTTTCCAACCCACACCTGTTTCACGTACCAGCAGGTACTTTCTTCTTCTTGCGTTTCCTCTGCGGAGGGACATCCTGGTGTTCGGGAGTGAGGGGCTCGCTGCTCTCAGACTGCCGCCGCACCGCGGCGTGGACAATGCCGTCTGAAAACCACAGGAAAAGATCCGGCAACCTTAACTCAGAGCCAGCGAGAAACAGGCAAGAAAAAGCTGCCCTTTACTACGCTGTGCAAATTCTGTATTTGCCCAGCTGAGCAACAGCTGAGATGCAAATGCCCTGGCTAGGAAAACAGCTGGGAATCAAATGCCATAAGAAGGAACATACAAGGGTGACGGCTAACAACCCTCCTTTCACCCTAACAGTTTCATGCTTAGGAGGAAATTAAGTATCCAAGAAGTAGCACAGTTCCCATTTGGGCATACAGCAGAGGCCTGACTGAAAGAAATCCACCACAGGAAAGAACTATACCTCTCTATTTCTCCTTTCTACGTGCAAAGATTATAATGCAAGGGACAAGTAAAAATTAAGTTTGTTACAAAGTGATCCACGCAGATATGTGCTAAGGCAAAATAGCATGAAATCAAAGGAAAATTTAAATGCTAAACATACTCCACAAGAATAAAGGGAGGAGCAGAAAAGCAACACTAAAGGATGTTTACTCCAGTGTGAGAGAGGAGCTATTATACTTTGGAGGAACTACATTTCCATGAGAGGTTAATATGAATTCATCAAATATTCTAGCACCAGTAGCATCAATTTGCATGATCCGAAGAAAGACATGACCAGAAGCAGAAAGGTACTGTTCCATTTTACATCACATCTGGTTTTTTATAGCTCTTCCAAAGACTGCCATTTTTATGATAATAACTGAATCCATCTGGTTCTACTTCAAGCACAGGTTTACCCACCTTTTATAAAGTTTTACTGTGCTAAAAAGCAAAATTAACCAGCAAAGTAACAGCAAAAGTCAAGGTGTACTTTGCATCATCATTCAGCTCACTGAAAACAACAGTAAACAAAACTTAATCCTTGGAAAATCCTGCTAGCAACAGCTCTACTTGTTGCCTTTAAAGGTCTTTCAGTGAGGCCTCATTGTACACTTTTAAGCACATAAAAGCAGTTTACTCATCAAACTTTTATATGGACCCAAGTCAACTGGTTACAGAAATCCACTAGATTCTGTTAACATGTTCTGCTTTATCAAAACAGATCAGACTCATAATCTTGCTTAAAACAATATGTTTGTTCTGCAGATTTGCTTCTTGCAAAAATACAAAGCTCTGATGCTAGTCACCTTTTACACTCTGAACTAACTCTTCAATGATAATGTAATGATTAACTTTTGACTTTATTTGGCCAAGGACTCAAATTGAGCCAAATTGTTAAATGAGTTTTATCTTAGTTCATTCAAAAATTCAAGCTCTTAACACATTAAACATAAGCATCTTACAGCTGGAAATTACTATTTCATGAAGCATGCAAAAAATTTACAAAGGAAAAAAATAGCGGGAATAAAAGAACAGTTTTCAGTCTTGGTAGGACCTTACCTAATGGAGTCTTTCCTTTGGGTTTTCTTTTTTTGGGACGACTGAGTGGAATTTCATCTGCATAACATAAAACAGAAGTATGGGTGCACAGCAAGGAGAAAACTCCGTTTTCTTTTTTTAACAGCCATTTTATTGCAAGTTAAGAAATAGGTTCTTTTTTACAAATTATGACATTCTTCACATTTTACAGGTAAGATGATAATTCACCAGTTCACACAAGGAGGAAGAGTAGAGAAGATGGCAGGAAAACAGGATAAGGAAAACTGTCTTATGTGTGGCAGAGGCTAAACACACACATGCACCTGTATTAGGTGAAAAAGTCAAATACTCTAAATAATGCTCTGAAAAAGAAACTTATTGTTTAAAGCACAGTGGCAGCATTTCAGTTACCTTGATGGAAACAGCAAACAATAAAGAGAACAAAGAAAACTACAGCTCTAGCAATGGCAGCACAGGTATCCATGCAGTTTAAACAATCAGCCTGCATCTAGGAAAAGTATAAGGCTCTATCTTTAAAGAGAGAATGTGTGATATCAAAACGAACTATCAATGTTTATAATTCTCCTTAATAACTCACCTTGGCTTCCACTTCACGTTTAAGGAGAAAAGGTGTTGACATGCAGTGTAAAAGGAACAAAGATGAGAAGAAAGTTAATTTTGAATGAATTACAATTCACAGCAGTGAAATTCACGGTGCTGCTTCTGTGATTCCTTCCCTTACCCCCACTCCTCTTTCTGAGCAGTTGTTACAACAGGGTTAAGGGTAGGAAGCAATCATCAGGACTCAACACTTTGTTGGTGACTAGGCACAGTTTCTTGATTGGCTGGCTGAGGATCAGATTAAAAGCTTTAATCACCTGGCTAATTAAAACTTGTCTTACTGCCTGATATGTAACAAACCAACAAAAGTTATAAAACATTTGAGCCCACACATTACTAAAAAGACACTATATGTCATCAATCATAAACATCACATTTACTTTCAGGTACTTTGAAAGAATTCTAAAGTACTGTGTCATAACAACTCTACTTCCACATTGAAAAAAAAGCCCAATTTTTTTACCTATGCTACATCAAATTAGTAGACACCTATATCCCTATTCAAGAATATCTAGTCCAATGTCAGAAATTCCTGTTCTAAAGGATCTGTGATTCAAAAAAACAAAAGAACATGTAACAAAACAAAGAGGGAAGTGAGAAGAGATTGAAAAAGACATCAGTTCCACTATAGTAGACATTAAAACTGTAATATCTATCTGAAACTTTTTAAAGGATTTATCTCTCAGTATTAAAACCGAAGTAATAGACTAAAATGTCTCAGCTTCAAAATGCTTTGCATTTCTTGTAAAGTGTTCTGGGACAAAAATTAGAAAGAGAAGCAATTATTTTTAAAACTGTTATGACTACTCATATGTTTAATAAACTTATTTCTCTTAATGTCATTACTTTTAAAATCACTGCAGTACAGCACCACAATCAGTTCCACAGAATGCACTGATTTTACCTTGGCACTGGAGGAAGGGCACGAGGCGGGCACTGAAAGACAAGAGAGAGACAGAAGTCAACTTCTATCAGCATAAAACCACCTCTCAGAAAACAGCTGTTTCCAGGTGTGGTCAGAACACACGAGGTATGTTTTGCTTCATATGCCCCCTAAATGGCTGGACATTCCTGATGGAGATGTTATAGAAAAGCAGTACCTAAAGGATGCTGGAATAATATGTCTTTACCAGAGTTCTGATGGGCACTGCATTAGGGATGTGTACCTAACATCTGTGTGTGAGGCACAGCTTGCATTTCAACTTCAGTTGGATAATTTTCACTTTTCATGTAAGGTACTGCTTTCATTAGAAAGCTTGTCAGTCAATCTGTTTAAATATCAGAATACTGCAATAATTTATGCATTCAATATACTTGTATAGTATACAGCATGAACTGATGGAGTATTTTCTATTAATGAAGGCGTAAATTCAGAACAATAGTAAAGTCAATAAAAGGAAATAAGCTCAGTTATGAAAACACCTTTAAATATTATAAAATACTATTTTTCATTTTTATTAATTTTCATATTTACCAGCAGGTCAAACACAACTAAAATCTAAAAATATCTCCTGATAATAATCCGAAACTGAGCTTGTACCTTTCTCTCATCTAGAAAAAGGCAGTTAACTTTCAGATTTTGTATTACACAAGAGTATACACAAATAAGTATTTCCCATGCTCAAAAAAGTCAGTTGATATCAGAAATAAAAAGGGCTGTAAGACTGGTAAGACTCAAACTTACCACTTGTTTCTTTCCCATATCATTTGAAGCTGCTCCCTGAAAGAGGCACTGTGAACTGGTCTATGCTCCCTAACGCTGCTCACATTGAACCTCAGCTAATTCTGAACTAAAAATAAACTTCAGGCAGCCAGGATTAGCTGAACATGAACCCTCCTGGCCCTGGGTTAGGACCCAGCACTACTCCCGTTTGAAACAAGGGCAGTTTGTTCTGTGGCACCAAATGTTATTTGCACCAAAAAACTGGTTAACTCCACTTGCTGCTCCAGGTTCCTGTAAACAAGTTTGACTTTGGTTTGTTTACCCAAAGCAAATGAGACGCCTCGTGCAAGGAAGGGTTTGTGGGATTAGGCCTCAAATCTCTCACTTGGATTTTGGCCATGCTGAAGACTGACAGCAAGTGCCATTTATACAGGTAGGGAACTGCACACCCTAAGCAGCCCCCAGTATTGGTCACACCATACAGCTGTACAAGAAAAATATTAGTAAAGGTCAGAGCTCATTACTGTTACTGTTTCCAACATTCCTTTAGCAGGAAATACTGAATGGTTACGATACTTGATATTTTAAAAAACTAAGAGCTAAAAAATCCATAAAAACAAACCAACCAACCAAACCCACAAACCTTCTATACAGCATTCACCACATGTGCAGTAGCATGTCTTTATTACTTTCTATAAAACAACTGAAAAGTGAATTGATTTGTTATCATTTATTTCTTGCAACAAAGGGAACCACATGCAAGCAGGCAGTGGTGAATACTCATCTGTTCCATCTGTATGACAGACAACTCTGCCGTGCAGATAGCAGCTTTGGTCTATTTGCCGGTTCGCAGAGTCTGAAGTAACTCACTCCAAGCGTGAGTTTGGGGACAGAGACATTTTGTTACTGCCAGAAGAGCTGCTGAATGCTCTAAGGTAGCCATAGCGCCCCTGAAGGCAACAGATTCTCTCAAACCAGCAGCCGCTGCCTCAGTCAAACCCTGTGTTTGCACACGTGAGCCAGGCCACAAGACCTGGGGCACACCTGGAAACTCAGGGCGGGAAAACCGAGCTACCCAATCCCGCTGGTGTCCATTCCAGGATGAAGGGCAGAAAGGGTTTAAAAGCCCTCAGTGTTTAAAAACACTTAACCAGCCTTTACAGATTTAAAGCTCTGCAGATTATCTTCTGAGAGATTTATATGAAAATACGAAAACAAGGAGGAAACGCTTGCTTGCCACCCCAGCAGAGGTGGCAGAAACGTGCCACGCTGCATCCGGCGACATCCCCCCTCCGCCTCCCCAGCGGAGCGGGGATGCAGGACCGCGCTACCGGGGCGCTCCGCTCTCGCCTCCCGCTTCCTCTCCGCCTCCCGGCAGCAGCTGCTGCCACCGAGGGCTCCGCGACGTCCCTTCAGCCACGGCGCCCGGCGGGACAAGCTCCCGCCTCCCGGGCTCCGCAGCCGGGCGTCCCGGGCTCCGCGGGCCCGTTCGCCGCCGCCCGCCCCGGCCCCGCCGCGCCCTCACCCCGCCGGGGCCCGCCCGCCGCGCCGCCATGGGCCGCGCCCGCCCGGATCGGCTCCGGCTCCGCGGGGAGGAGCCGCCGCTCCTTCCGCCCCGCGCCGCGGCTGCGCCCCCCCAGCGGCGGGGAGGGCCCGGCCCCGCTCCCGCCCGGCCTCGCCCGCCGCCCCCAGTGCGGGGCCAGCGCACCCCCGCGGATCTGGCCGGGGTCTTCGTCCTTAGGGCTGCGGGCGAGCAAAAGCAAACGCTCGAAAGTGGAAACAGGTTTCTGGCCTACTTTTCAGCTTGTAGCCAGGGTCACAAACTGCTAAATGAAGTTCTGCTCTGTAAGCGGGGGGGGGGAACCACAAAAGTAGAAAATAACACATGGGAAAAAGACAAAGAATCGACAAATGCTGGACTAGGCAGAAGTGGGGACCAGCATGGCACAGAAGCACAGAGCTGGCTCTTATCTCACCCTCCACTCTACTTATCCCACATAAGTGACATATTGGGACTTCAGTCTCATCTCTCCCGTTTTATATCTAAACAAGGAATACAACCCCTGGCTCTAGAACAAGCAGGCATGCTGGTAGCTGTAATATTTGACTTTAAATAACCACTTTCTAGACTGCTTTACTTACATTTGTTGATTTTCCTCCAAGGTGAGGTAATAGTAATCTGTGTTCCTCAGAGGGCAAGACAGCTGCCATGGGACATGAAGAGAGTGAGGAACATACTTGCCACAAGCACCACACCCTCTGATGAGGAGAGTCTGCTACCATAGAGCAAACCAGTAAGAGAAAGGATTTCTCACTATTCCCCTCTTTGCTAAATCCATATTCTGTCAGTTTGTACTTACTTGAGTTGATGAAACAAAAGACATCTCACATGTATTATGAAGGTAACTATGGTTTCTGGAGGAATTAATGTTGTGCCAACGCCACTCCTACCTTAAAAGGTAAAAAGGACTAGCAGCAAACTAATATCGTCATAAATAACACTCTCTGCTCACAGACAGTGAGGCAAAAGAGCACATCCTGGACTGAATATTGACTGAATATTTCTGAGAGAGTAAGGCTTCCAGAATGTACAGGTATAACAGTACCAGAATGACCACGATAAAAAGAAAGGAAAGGACTTTTCTGAAGCTATGTATAAGCAAATTACACAGACACATCCAACAAAATAGATTTTTCTTTATTCTTGTAATTGAGTGCTCACGATATTTCCTTTTTTTTTTTGTACAAAAGTGGATGCAACTGTAACATAAAAAGCTCAAGAGCTACACAGAATGTAGTATGATTATATCTCCTGTAGCAGCTTCTTTCCTAATCCTCTTCCAAATCCCTTACATACAAAGATAAATTCTTGCAATCCTGACATTAGGATTATTCTTGAAGTAAAACATAAGCTGTAATCTTTCTGAAGCTGCCTGCTGCTCAGAATTAGGGCTGAGTGTCTGAGCATATCCATATTGCAGGGACCCACTGAGGCTCGTCCTGTGCACGATGTACTGCAGACAGCAGCTGTGCAGATGCTTCTTGTAAATTGTCATTCACAATCACTTGATCAAAGAACTGACCAAACTGGACTTCCATTTTCTTAGCTGATTCTTCCATCTCCTGTAAATCTTCTTCCTGTGAGACAGAGTAAGTCTATAAAACTTAAAAAATTTGTGTAGAGAACCGTACCTGCACAGCATCTCCAGAGCACCTTGGCCCACATAAACACGAGGTGAATAGATAGCGCCAGTCTACTTTATTTCATTTACAGTTTGCTACAGTAAAGCACCTCTGCTACAGTCAGTTCCAAGTCTCCAAAACAGGGCTGACTGCCACACCCTTCCCAAGGAAGTGCCTTGTGTATGGTATGCTCCATTTGCCCCAAACAGGTTATTCTAATGATGAGTGCTGGCAGAGAATGTTAGGGACTGGAAGGCAAATCCACTAATGCTTGTGTTCTGATCCAGATTTTATTTTATTTCTCCGGTGATTATGTTTCTTTCTGTTGTAGCCATTATGATTCATTTCCATACAGTTACGGATTGTGGTCTTCAAAACACTAAGATGCTAAACTTGACTATGATTTGCATGGAAACAATTGTGACAAAGCTCTATATACATTCTAAATATAAGGTATGCATTTCCTACAAGCCAGATTTGTTTTTTATCTATAGAACTAAGTATAGAGTTGATACTGATACTGCTATTAAGCATATGTGAACTAATAATACATTCTTATAAATATGTGAAAAAATAGTTTATTAAATTACTGAATGAAGTGCATTCCAGGTATTTCAGTGCAAACAGTAAATATATATGTTGACTCAAATGTTGACACAAGGCAGTTAATTAAAACAAAAATATGCAAAACAGCTTCTCCTTTAAAGACATTTTGAAGAAAAATGCCTCAGTCCCCTAGATACAAATTACAACCCTTATGCTTCAAAGCAAATCTGGAGGGGGAAAAAGATCCCAACCAAATGAGACAAGAATAATTAGATTTCATCTTAAAGACACAATAATCTTTTTTTAAGAGTTATCACTGTAAGACAGTAGTGTGCATTATGTTCTAAACACGGAATCTCAGATTAATAAACTCATTTCTCTTTTATTCCCAAATCTCACCTTGAACTTCATGTTCACGTAATAGTCCGTAATGATCCTGGCATTTTTACGAGTCTGCCTCATGCAGCTTATGCTGGGTGGCTTGATGAATATAATGTAGGGCTTTAACTCATGAGTCCGGGCTAACTGTATGCCCTGCAAATGAAGAGTAAAGTGAAGTTTAAGTATTTAAAGTGTATTCATCCCACTTTTACTCCCATAAAAACAGTTGTTTACAACATGCTGTTATCTCCAGACCTAGGAGGCATCTTTGTCAGGAACACCTACTTGAAAATGGTCTCACTAATAATCCCTGGACCAGATACTGTTAACCAGCTGTACCATACAAGGATCATTTAACTCTGCTTGGTAACCTTATTAGGAGATGCTTTCAACATTAGTGAATGACAGAACAGAGTAATTAACAGATCTCTACAATCAACACATTAAAGATGCATTTGAAACCTGTGCTTTTTTAACTGTTGGGGAGCTACCTTTAGAACAAGTACACCTTTATTGTTCTATATTGAAAGTAAGTATCCTGCTTTCAGAAATCATTGTTCTATGTAACATTCCCTTATGCTAATAAGCATTTTCAAATTTCTACAGAGCAATGGAGAGAACTAGAAAAAAAAAAAGAAAAAGAAATCATAGCATGTAAAGCTGGTCAAACCACCAGATTTAAAATCAAGTATGCAACTCAGCAGTAATTCTCCTACCTCACTGCTGTTACTTGATACCCTTCCCAAAACTTGTCCTTTAAACTCAAACCCTAAAAAACTGATAGTGGCACATCTGTTCAAGTGGCAAGATTACACACCCCACCATCCAACACCTCTCTTCCTCCCCTTTGCTTAAAAATGTAACAGAAGAAACCCAAGGAGATTTTTAGATCTGAAGAGTAAGGTGTGACCTGATCTGCCTCTTACAGCAGTTTGAGTTTTCAAGTAGTACCCCCACAGGTCATGTAACTTAACATCTATTTTAAGCAGCACAAACCACTGCTAACCTAAGGCTCCAACACACCGACTCTGTGTAATTAGAAGGAAATATCCAAGGTTTACTGAGATATGGTGTCTCTCTTTATGTTTGGTTAGAAAAGATGTTGCAACACCATAGCCCAAACAGCTCCTAAGTACTAAATAACACAAGTAATCCAGAGAAGGTTGGTGAGATTTTGCCAGACACAGCTCTAAGTACCTTAAATATGTGCAAGCCCAGGCTTTTATTAGCCTTATCTTCATCAGCACATTCAATGCAAAGATTGAAGGAAAAAAAATGTGAATAGCATCTAAGTGAAGGAGCAGCTTACTCTTAGCTGTTACTTCTGAAGAGAAAAAGAGGCACACTATAATGCCCTGCTTCTGCTTGATTACTTTAATAGTTGCTGCTTTTACCAGAAGGTATTCAGAGATTGGTGACAGAAGGACAGAATTCTCAACTAACAGGGCTCGGAGGAGGAGAAAATCCCATGCAACAGTTTCCCCATGAAAGAATAATCCTTACTTTAAGCAAGCATGAAAACTCATTTCTGTACCATCCAAACTGGTCATGCAGCTGCTGACCTGAAAATAAATGAACTGTCTCGACATACTTGTCACTGTAGTACCACCACCACCCGAGACCCATGCAAAGAATA